TTATTTCTCGCGTATACTAAGCTCTTTACCCTGAAAAGAGTGGCATTCATTACCGGGGTAGAAGGTCATATTAGCATTATATAACTTTTGCTATTTGACTTATTTTCGACTGCAACTGTCAAAATTTACGTAAATCGGTCTAATTTTAAAGATTTCTGAGCCGAATATGTTCAATAACTGGATTACTTTCATTTCTCCGTAATAGGTACTATTTAATATATTATATCATATTTTTTTAGATCTTTTGAATAATCTATTTTGAAATTTTCAGGTTTGCCAGTCTTAGGATACGAAATAAACCAAGAATGGTGGGAAAGTAAATATTCCAATTACAAATTTATTAATCTACACTATGTAGACGGCATTTCAGAAAAAACATTAGATTCAAATTACGCATTATTGTTTTGTTATTTTAATGACAGAAAGGCATTCCAAAACTATGTAGAGAACTACAGGGGCAATTTAATTTTGATAATTGGACCAGGAGATGACACGTGCAGACATACAGATCCTGAACCCTTTAGCGCAGACTTTGGAAGTTCTGAATGGAAATTGTACTGCTTTCAGCAGGTTAAGAATAGTGGAGATTATATAGCGGCGTATGTTAGAGAAGAAAGAAGTCTATTTATGTGATTCCAATTTTTTTAAAGGAGATAAACAGGAGATGTAATATATAGGTAGTTGTTTACGCTAATCGTATCTGAAGCGGCGAGTGCGCGAATCCGGCTCATATGTTATTTATTAGTTTCCATTTTTCTAGGGGCTATAGTGAAACGGTTAACATAACGAGACATTCGAGTTCAAACTTTCAACATTTAAACACACACATATATGACCTTCTTAATTTTTGCAATCTATGCTAGTTTTAAGTTTAATTTAAAGTGGTTAATAAAAACGTTTAAATTCAAAAAGTTACAAGTGTAGTGATTATAAAAACCTTATATTTACTACCCACTTCACGTCTGGTCCTTCGAGCCGGATATTAACCTGTGGAAGCGAGACAGTGCCACTTAAAATTGGAACCACTTCAAGACGGCCGACACAGAAATTATAAGGTCAATGTACTCCACTTAAATCCTTCGCTTGATTTAATAGTGTGAATCTGGGTACGCACAATTGGTAAAAGAACATTCTTTAACTTCCACGCAGTTTTTGAGTTAAAAGACTTTTAGATCCTTCTAATTTTTTAATCAATAAATTACTCTACTTTACGAGGGGTTGCATTTTCATTTTTGACAGTCTTAATTACCAATTAGTTTCGGAGTATTAGAAGCATTTCTTAACAAGAAAGGTTATTTTTATAGAATATGCGACTTTCAATCATATCAAAATATGCAGCTGTAACTAATGGGTAGGGTACTGGAGAGAACGCGAATCACTTAAGAAAATAATTATATTCATCATAAATAATGGGTCTTTTAATTTAACTTATCAATTACTAGCATTAGGACCTGTGTTCAACAAATTTACTTGGGAGTGAGTAAGGATACGGATAATAGATAGATATTAGATTGGCTAAAAAGCCAAAAAATATTGAATATACTTATATATATATATATATATATATATATATATATATATATATATATATATATATATATATATATATTTATATATAGTGATGCGTGCTTTACCACCCGGCTTTTTAACGTAAGAGATAGAAAACACAGTTACCTTGTGAAATAAAAAGAGATAAAACTCGTAGAGGTGGGAAATAATCGATAGAAACCTATAATTTACATTACATTGTCTCACACCTTTAGACGTTAGACGTGGCTATTTGACTTCAGTCATAATTATACGGATAACCTCAAAAATATTTTATTTTAATAATTTCTGATGTTAGAATAAATACTTGAATAAATTAAGATATAGTAAAAAACATTCATTAGAAGCGATTTTAAATTATAAATCTTTAAATTTATTTAATAGTAAAAATAACTCAACTGAAATATTTGACTAAAATAAAGGTAGGTATGTTCTGTCCGAAAACAATTAAAGTATGTGAAATTGGTGTAGTAGTTAGGGACGTTGTCTATTGACGAGAAAATTGGGGTTCAATTTACACCAAGGATAAAATTTTTGTTTTACCAATAAAAAAATAATAGATAATGATACATATTAGGTAACAAATTTTCGAAAAACTCATTATTTACAATTTATTTTTATTCCAATGTTATAAAACGGAAATACAAAATAATTCAAATTCAATTCATACAGTCTTCAGTTGTGAATGCAAAATAATCCGGTGAAGACTGTTTGTATCAAATCCATCACTAAATTCTCAATGTTAATATTAATTCCTCTGTACAGGTAATGATTTTCAAAACAATTGACAACATTGGAATGGATGCGCGCGAAGCGAAGCCTTTGGGCCATCAAATAATAACATATCGAGAAGTGTTTTTGCACGGTAAACAGAAACTTTTTATTGAAAAAAAAAAATTCGTGAAAATGGTTTTAACGGTCGAGGAAAAAGTGCAAATTGTTGTCTGGCATGTGAATGGATTCTCAGACAACATGATTAGATAACAATTTGTAAATATGTTTCCAAATAGGCCGGCTCCATCACGATCAACAATTCAATCTATTATACGTATTTTTTTTACTTATGGATCCGTGTTCGCTCCAAGAGGAGTTCGTAGACGAAGGGAGGTAAATCCAGATTTGGAACTAAGGGACACTTTGATTTGTGCAAGTATTGAGCAAAATCCTACCCAATCAACATCTCGTCTCGGAGAACAATATGGAATTTCAAGATTTAGAGTTGGTAAAATTTTGAAAAGACATGGATACCGACCCTATAAACTTCATAAATCCATAATAGAATTTTGTCAAATTGCAATGGAAATGTCACATCAAGATGAACATTTTTTAGAGAACGTCTTGTTCACCGATGAATGTACGTTTTCATTGCATGGCCGTCACAATTCAATGAATGCTCGGTACTGGTCCCGAGGAAATCCTCGTCAGATTTATGTCGCTCATACCCAGTGTCCTCAAAAAGTAAATGTTTGGGGAGGCATAATAGGGAATCGTGTCATTGGTCCATTTTTTATAGACGGTATGTTGACTGGGCGGAAATACTTGGAACTTCTGCAAAATCAAATTGTCTCAGCCCTTCGTAATTTACCAATTCCTTTCGATTCCATATGGTTTCAACACGATGGTTGTCCTGCACATAATTCTCGCATCGTCAGTGAATATCTCAGTGCGACTTTTCCTAATCGATTGATTAGTGGACACGGAGATATTTTTTGGCCTGCAAGATCACCTGATCTTGCACCTTGTGATTTTTTTATGTGGGGATATATCAAGTCCAAACTATATGGAATTGAAGACGATAGGACTAATTCTCTCCAAGAATTAAGAGAAAAGATCTCTGAGTCAATGAGAGGTATTAGTCCAGAAACATTAACTAATGTTAGACGAAACTTTTATAATAGATTGGGTTATTGTTCTGCTGCTAATGGAGGCTTATTTGAACATTTTTTGTAAATACATTTCATTAGAATAAAATACGTTTATTTAGAATATTTTTATAGAATTTCTGCTTATTTAAACATTTTTTGTAAGTACATTTATTTAGAACGTTCTTTTATGTTTGAAGAATTTTTACTTTATTTTCGAAAGTACGACATTGTTTTTTCAATAAGATTTTCATGTTTTACTATAAACACTTCTAATAATGACTGAAATAAGTGTTTTATGATTTAAAGCAAAACGATATAATATCTGCATAATTTCAAATTTAAAAAAAAGTAAAAACTTCGTGTAGGATTTGAACCCTAAGCGCCTGCATGAGTACATCGTGCCTTGAACTCTGATCCATCAGACTTTTATAATTCTTTAGTGGCAGTTTGGATTATTATTCTGCTGCTAATGAAGGCTTATTTGAACATATTGTAAATACGTTTATTTACAATATTTTTTTATTTTTGTAAAATTTTTACTTATTTATACATTCTTTTAATTTTGAAGAATTTTTACTTTATTTTCGAAAGTACGACGACACTATTTTTTCAATAAGATATTTATGTTTAACTTTAAACACTTCAAATACTAGTAACGACTGACATAAATGTTTACTGATTCAAAGCAAAACGATCTCTGCATAATTTCAAATTATTAAAAAAAAAAGCCTCATGTAGGTTTTGAATTCTAATCATCTGCGTCGCAGTGTCGAATTCTTGCCACTAATCCACGAAGGATTGCTAATTATTCTGTGACAAGAGTGTATGAAACTCCTCAAATCATAATAGAAATTATTCTTGGTTAATAATTTAAAACTTTAGAATAAGTAATCACTATTAAATTATTTTATTCACATTTTGCTTTATTGTGGTCAATCAGTTTTTACTTTATCTAAATTAAAAAATGGAAATACGTCACACATACGACGTCAAACTGTCAAACATAATAATTATGACCGAGGTGATTTAGATCGTAAATTATAGGTTTCTATCGATTATTTCCCACCTCTACCAGTTTCATCTCCTTTTATTTCACAAGGTAACTGTGTTTTCTATCTCTTACGTTAAAAAGCCGGGTGATAAGGCACTCACCACGGTATATACAATACAAACAACATAGTTTATTAGTTCTTCAGTCAGAAGTTTGGCCGGGATGTTAAAGAAACACTCTTGACTTTTGGTCTAGCTTTCGGAATTGTTTAATTCCTTTTTCAATACACTGTAATAAGGAGAATGTGTAAATATTTACAAAATATCACAATTAGTCAGTGCAACTTACTAGTCGTTGAGATTATTTATAGAAAGCTTTGACACTCAACATTAACAACACATAAAATATATTAATGTTGAGTGTCAAAGCTTTCTATAAATAATCTCAACGACTAGTAAGTTGCACTGACTATAAATAAATAATCTCAATCGTGTCATTAGACACGATATATATGCATATGACAATAATAGTATACACTATAGGAGACTTATAAAAGCCGTAGTCAATACTTTTTAAATACTTTATTGCAACCATAACTACGTACAATCTTGAGGTTTTAAATTGTGTGCTGTTACCATATGCGTTATGTACATATCTTTATTTACAGACCTAAACTGACATTCGACACAAGTGAACAAAAGATCCTTTTCCAGTCCGGGATGCTTGGTCTTCAGATGAGTTTTGTATGTACTGCTTTGAATGCAGGCGTATGAGCAGTAGCTGCACTTGTAAGGTTTTTGACCAGTATGTCGAAGGTTGTGCCTGCGCAATGAGTTGTGATCGGATGTTGTGTAGCTGCAAACATTACAGGAAAATGGCTTCTCACCTAAAGAAATTAATAAATTACATACAGTTTATAAAGTAGATATTTTAATAACTTAGGAAGCAAAATATCACACAAGACAGAAATATATGAGAGATGAAAAATTTTCAAGTAAGAATGTAAAAACAAAAAGCAAGCAAATTGGGAAACAAGTACTAAATAAGGATGGCTAGATAATAAATATAAGTAAGTTAAACACCATCAAACACCATATAACATATACATATCATCCTGTTAGGATTCAAATGAACTATTGTTAAATTAGAATAACCGATTGGGTTCGTTTTAAAGTAACATAACCTCAAACAATGACAGTGTAATCTATCATTAATGTCGTGTAGATAAGTGATATAAGAAACCTAACTGATGATCTGACGTCAAATGATGGCACAAAGTTCTCAGATAAAGTGTTGCAGTCCGACAATATATACACAAATAACAAGATAATTAAATTATTAAATAATAAAATTTTCAAGGCAAAATTGAAAAAAAAACCAAATAGTGCAAAATGTTGGACCATGATAGAGAGACTACCTCTAATGATCATATCAAGTTTCAAGAATGTAGAGAATAATAAATAAATAAATAAGGCTTGGTACAAACGTCACAGAAATGGTAAATAAGAGAATTGTAGAAATACAACTGCGATAGTTTGGACATGTAATAAAAATAAACGATGAGAGATCAGATGGTCTATTCATCGCAAAATAGTAGAAACAATGGATGGAGAAAATTTAGATGAATCTCTCGGTAAGTGTGGACGTTTAGGTGAGAAAGGAACAAATTGGCTATCAGGTTTGAGAAGCAGTATATTTGTATACTATATGTTTACAAGAACAAACGAGCTATAGAACAACGCAAAAACTACAAGGCTATAAAACTACTTAGTCACACCAAGAAATATGGGAGCGAGTAATTGATATAAGTGAAGAAATCGAAATATCCAAAAATAAGTTTGGTTTTGGAAGATCAACAACAGATGAAATTTTCATTATAAAGCAGATGGATGAAAAAATACAGGAATAAAAAAAAACATCGCAAATGATGTTCATTGATCTTAAGAAAGTATATGACAGGTTTCCGGTAAGTATGTAAAGATCGTGATAGACATATACGAGGAAATAACAACTAGTGTTAGGATCGACGTGCGGGAGACTGATAAATTTCATGTGAAAGTAGGATTGCATCTGGGCTCAGTGCTTAGTCCCTATTTATTCTTATTATTGTTGGATCAAATAACAGAGAAACTGCAGGGTATCATTTCTTGCAATAGTGATTGTTCTTAGAATTTGGATTGAAATATTTGCGTTTTCATAACATTAGATTTGATAGCTGATCCTCAGAGCTGAGAACCACACGACAAAATGAGTTTTATTATTACTTTGAATATCAGCAGCTTGTTGTAGATCGATATGTGAGTTTCTTCGCAGCATCCAGTTAAGTTTTCTGTACACAAATACTAGTTGTAGTATTTTTAACTACATAATAAGCGTTTGTTCATATGGATGCCTAGATATTTTACATCATCCTTCTGGGGTAAAGAAGGAGATTGTCCATCGAGATTGACTTGTGTACATGTATCTCTTCTTAGAGTTAATGTATAATGTGTAGATTTTGAGGCATATACTTTAATTATCTATATTGAGAATCAAAAACAATTTAAAATTAATTAATTGAAAATGGCTTCATATATGCTCAATAGGATTAAGGTCTGGACTTTGAGTAGGCCAGTCCGTTTTTGAAATACCAACATTTTACATACTGTGTTACAATCCTTGCCGTGTGTAGTCTTGCATTATCGTGCATTAGCAGAAAACCATTGCCAATAAACCCACCATATTGCATCACCTAATGTAGAATTTCCGTTATGTATCTGTGTGCTGTTAATGCGTCCCTCTCAATCAAGACGAGATCCATGTGCCTCTAAAGAAATCCCTGCTCAAAACATTACTGAGCTACCACCAAAAGAAACCTGGTGTGACCGACTGCAGTCAGCATAACGTTCTCCAACCCTCCTGTAGACCTTAGTTCGACCATCTTTACCATAAAATAATATTCTACACTCATCCGCAAACAATACTTTTTCCAATCATCTATTATCCAATTGACCTGTTCACGGACAACTGCAAGTCTTCGTCTTTTGTGAGCAGCAGTAAGTAATGGTCCCCTTGCTGAATTGCAAGCTGTCAAAACCTCTTAACCTTCGTCGAACAGTACAAACGCTGATTACTGTGCTTGGGCTTACTGAATATGGCTTTGGAGCATTCTAGCAGTTTGCGTCCGGTCTCACAATGCAGCAACGCGATCTTCTCGACTGTTGTCTTTCTTTTGGCACCTGCACCGGTCCGCCGTTTGTCTCAAGAAATCGTTGATAAGTTCTCTGCACAGTTGAAGGACTAACATTTAATTGTCTTGCCACATCCCTTTGGCTTGCTCCATTTTCTAGCAATGTAGCAATCTGAACAGGACTTTTGATATGTAACAATAAAACACTGAGAACTTTGTTTTCAAACTTCCACAAAATTTATTTTAAACTTATCACTACAGGTGTTTCGGCTGATTGCCTTTCTCAAGTGATCTATTTTTGGCTTGGGTTTACAAATTTATAGTCTCTAATGAAATAGGTTGAGGAGGTGAGAACTGTTTGTCTCAAGTTGGTCATTCAGAATTATATCTGTGTTTTTTAATTTGTTGATTTCCATAGATTCTAACAAAGATAGCTTAAGGCCTTTATTTTGAATGTGAAGAATTTTAAATTTGTTATTAAAAGAATGATTATGATCTAGAATCTGTCTTTCTATTCTTGAAAGCCCTTTTATGTTCTGCTATTCGTTTATCAAAGTTTCTACCAGTTTTTGACCGATGTAAGTTTTTGGGCAGTCGCCACATTGAAGTTTGTACAGACCACTATTTAAGTGTTTTTTATTTTGGCTCTTGTTATTTTTAATATATTTGCCTAGGTTGTTATTTGTTCGGAAAGCTGGTGTTATTCCTTTCTTTTTTATGTGTTTGGCAATTTTTGTTGTTATTTTGCCTGTATATGTAATCGAGCAGAAGGTACTGGGTTTTTTTCTCTGGTGGAGGAAATACTAATTTCAGGGCTTTCTTGTGTAGTTTTTGATTTAATATTTTATTAATTGTTTGTTCGTTGTATCTGTTGTTTACTGCTATCTGCTTAATTATATTTAATTCTGTCTCAAAGTTGTATTTTGACATCGGAATTTCTGTTAATCTATGTAACATACTATGATAAGCTGCCAGTTTATGTTGTGTTGGATGGGATGATGACTTGTGTATAGTCGTGTCAGTATGGGTAGGTTTATGAAATATGGAGAAGTCATGTTTGTTTTGAAGTCTGCTAATTTTTAAATCTAAAAAATTTATGGATTGATTTTGTTCTGTTTCTATTGTAAATTCAATATGACTATGAAGTGAATTAATATACCATACAAATTGGTCGAGTTGCCTGTTAGTTCCTATGAAGCATACCAGTACGTCATCTACGTATCTCCACCAATATAAAAACTGTTTGAATACGGGATGTTTTGAAATCTTTGTCTCTAGATGATCCATAAAAATATTTGATAGCAATGGGCTTAGAGGATTGCCCATTATAAGTCCTGTACTGTTATTTGTATATATTTTATTATTAAATTCAAAGTAGTCCTGGTTTATACAAACTTCAAGAAGATGTAAAATTTCAGATGTTATTATTTGATTTGTACTATTTTGGTCTAAAAGGTTTTTTACTTGAATAAAAGTTTCTGTAGGAGGGATACTAGGAAAAAGATTTTTTACGTCAAATGAAATTAATCTGGAATTGTTAGGTAATTGAAAATGTATTTTATTAACTAGTTCTATTGTATTTTTTATGGTAAATTTAGGTGAAAATTTAGTGTGTTCTAAAATAATATCTAACAGTTTTTTTGAAATTTTATATGACGCAGCTGTATAAAAAGAAACTACAGGTCTTATTGGGTGATCCGGTTTGTGTAGTTTAATGAAAGAGTATAATTTAGGAAGCTTTGGGTTCATGACATTGAGGTATTTCTGTTCTATTGGATTTAGTATTGATTTTTGATATGTTTAGAGATATTAGAGATAAGACTTTTGATATGTTTATTTTTGAGACTATGTTTGTTCTATTCTGTGGGCTTTGCCTGCAGAGTAGGCAAACTACTCTGCAGGTACAAGTACTGTTGTGCTTGCATCTATACCAATGTACTGTAATAGTAAAGCTACCTTTCTCGCATCATTTTCCTCCTCTAAACCCGTCGTCCTCAAAAATATTTTGAAATCCATGCACCATTCTTCCCAGTTGTAAGACAAATTTCCATCCATCGACAAAGGTAGAATTTCATTGCTTACTATGTTGCATTTTATTTTTACAACGACTGGTTGGTTCTGCTCGACAGCATCTTGTTCTTTCATGGTTGACGAATTTTATATCTTCTACTATTTTTAATATCAATGATTATGTATTTCGAGAAAATTTTCAAAAACTGTCAAAATTTTTTGTATTTTGAGAACGATTTCCGAAATGGAAATCGGAACGTCAAATAAACTTATTTTAAAGTAAAATTGTGGCTTATTCCCAATATAAAAATTTAATTAAACTTACCTGTATGTTGCCTAACATGCATTTTCAAGGAACTTCTCGAAGATCCCTTATATCCACAGAAATTGCATAAGAATGGTCTTAGTTTTTTGTGTACCACGTCCTGATGTATTCTCAACTGTCTTTTATCAGAAAATTTCTTTGAACATTCACTACAAATATGTACTAACTTCTGGGTCTTTTCTTTATGAGTTAACTTATGGTTCCTAAGTTGCTTACTATTTTTAAAAGCCTTCTTACAAACATCACAGGAAAAATTTTTGGCATCGCCATGAATATACTTATGGACATTATTAAGTTTCGCTAAGCTATATGTTTTATAGTCGCATTTATCACAGGAATATAAACCTAAATCTAACTTATGAAGGCGCCACATGTGAGATATTAACGGTTTCCAAGTGGAAAACGGTTCTCCGCATTGGAAGCATGCAAATGCACCTTCACTGTGACAGGATATGTGGTAGTTCAATTTGGCACTGTCCGGAAATTTGATTTTACAATTGGTGAAAGGGCATCTTGAACTTTCTGAAGGATCCAAATTCGCCACTGTTACCATCTCTGGTAATTGTACTATATTTTCGAAAAAGGGTTTTGAAGTGTTGAGCTCATTTGGAGTTTGGTGTTTGTCTGTAGATTCTGAAGTATCATCTAAAAAGATAATACATTTCAAAAAATTATATTAAGTGAATATATCTGTTTATATATGTATACCAAGGAGGCTTTGACGGTCGAATAAGGAGATAATGGAAAAGCAAAATGATGATCACAATTTTTTAAACAACATTTTATGTACTGACGGTTCGACATTTTCTTTTTACAATCCATCCATTGTTCGATTTTGGTCTCAAAAAAGTAAGCATATAAGTATACCTGTGCGTAC